CCGAGGAACCCTTATGCTCAGAAACGGCCCTGGTTACAATATAAACACATGGAGTTATTTATATCTCATTTACAATAATGTACAGTATTTGAAAAATAATGTGTTTTTTGAACATTAAAGCATGTCAACATATTCTGTTACACGAAATACACAAAATAATGATCTTTAAAAAAGCATCATATGACCCCTTTAAGTTGTATTTACAACACTGTTCCAGAACAGTTCAACCCAAATATTCAGATGTGTGCAGCACATTTTATGGAGGACTGTTTACTGATCCTGGTAGAGTAGACTACAATGCTGGCTGTTCTGACTGTAAGTACATTTTAATTTAAAGAATTTGCCACTGATGATTCAAACGTGAGTTTTGAGCAGTGTAGAGTAGCGCTTGTTGTTTGTCATTTCTCCGATCACAAATGCAGACATGGTTTTATGTTTACGCGGCGCGATGCAACGCAACGCATAAAAAGACAGTATAAGTCATTATAATCAGTAATTATGTCCCCACTGGATGCAACAAATGCCTCGTTTATAATGGGTTTTAATGTTTTTGTCTCATCGCTCCGGCCGGACAGGGCATCATCACAGTATGGCGAGGGGCGTAACATTTCCATCACACGCTTGAGGTATTCGGCCAATCACAACGCACTGGATAACTGGCCAATCAGAGCACACATCGCTTTTCAGAACGATGAGCTTTGTAAAAATCGTTTCAGAAAGGCGGGGCATAGAGGAGAAACAATAATGTACAGTATGTGGAAAATAATGAATAATGAAAATAAAATTTTTTTGAACCTTAAACCGCATAAACACATTGCATTACACCAAATACACAAAATAATGTTATTTAAAACGTGTAAAATGCGCTTGCTTTTCTAAAGCAACAGCAGAGGGTAAAATTACAGAACAATAAGTACAAAAAAAAGTACAAAGGCAGGAGAAATGTAATGTATTTTTCCTGTTATTTTTCTGATGGCGATCGACAGGTTGGTGACCACTGCACTAAAGCATGCGCTGGGTTTGGTGGGGGTAATAGAGAATGAATGGGTGAAAGTCATGTGATAGGAGGAAATGGTGTTATGACTGGGTATGATTGGTTATGATTGGTTCATGTGATAAATCCCTCCTTCTTGAACAGTCAGAGTGAACAAAATGATGGTTTTAATGGAAAAACACAAATTAAAAAGTAAGTAAACTTTAAAATAAAACTTAAAATGACCTACAACATTGGGTTTGTAGTGAGCAATCAGCTTGGTAAAATTAAAGGCACATTTCCGTGTCAGTGATCAGTGTTTACATATAAAGACATAAAAGTCAATGCAGAGCAAAGCATTTTTATTTTATTCTGTTTTGTCAATGAAAGAGGTATGGCCTCTTAATTTTGCTCGTAAAATTAACCAGAAAGATGCACTTAACTAAAAAAAACGTTTTCATAGTAGGAAGGCATTCCCCCAAATCCTCCTGAGGGTCTGAGGTCACCACGGTCCTGTCTGAAACACCACCCCATTATAGCAATACAACACAGATACATTTCACAAATAATCTGCAATTTGATGAGACAGAGGACACAGCTAAACCTGACCTACATATTAAAAGAGTGGATTAGAGAACAGC